TTCCTTAACATGAAATCATGGAGTTGGAATCTCCTTTTTCTTTCCTTGGTGCCTGACGGACAGAGAGAGAGAGGTGAAGAGGAGAGATGATGGATGGATGATTGGTGATGATGTTTGATGATGAATATGTGGTGGAGAAAATGGAATAAAGGTGGGAGTATTATATAGGAAGGGTTGGATTATAGTGTTAGTGGAGTGGAGTGGGGTAGCTAAGGAGAAAAGGTCTCGTGATTGAAGGAGTTTTGAAGATTTTAAAATATTCTCCTACTCCGTAACTGATAAACTGGCTAAAACGGTACGCGATTTTTCGCCTAAATTGTTCCGAATTGAAAACGGATTGTGTTTTTGGAAACAGACTGTCAAAACTAGAATTTTGACGTAATCAAAATATTTTTCTGAGAACTTTTATTTTTCTCAGTGTTCGGGTCTGTCTCAGTCATAAATTAATCAATAATATAAATGATATAAAAATATATGAATTTAATTCAAAAGATAAATATGGTGTTGTCAAATGTCAAAGATTTATAAATGAGATTGATTCATAAAATGTACCGTTGGAATCGTCTCTTCGGGACATATCCATAAAAATAAGTTTTTAACAAAAAGTCATTATTTTGAAAATCCATTTATTTTTGGTCAAACGTATAAATATTCCTTATTGGACAAAAACTACTTTTGTTTTATAATAAATTTTAGGCCATATTTTGTGGCGTTACAGAAGATCAAATTGCAGACATCTTTACCAAGCCATTGAAGCTTGATGCATTTGTCAAGTTGAGGGACATGCTTGGAGTGAAGACCATCCCTTATCAGAATTAAGAGGGGATGTTGGATAATTTGGTTAATTATTTATTCATTCTGATTTTTAATTATAAGTTAGAGTGTTTGAATTATTCTAGAATAATTCTCCTAGTCTTTAGGGTTGTTAAGAGTATTTCTTAGTGGCATGTTAGTTAGTGATCCTATTTGTATGATCTATCACAGGATATGTTAGTGGTTTGTTATTAGGCCTATTTTCTAGCTTCTGTTGGCTGTAAGGTGACATATACTAGTATATATGATCATCTGATTTCATTGTTTTTGTGAAGAAGAAAAAGCAGCAGATCAAATACAAAGCTTTCATCTTAGTTCCTGAGTAGTATTAATTTTGCAGTTGCATTCTATATCAAAATCACAGCATACTGCTATTCTCTATTCTTTTCCTTCCATAGGTATAAGCATGGCAAAACCTTTCAACATTAATATAAGAGAGCATATGAATTTATGAATTGAATAAGAATTGCATATGAATTTTGGAAATAAACCTGAATTTCATATTGACGTCGATGAATAAATGGATCTTGACACCGTAAATTTGATGCTAAGAATCCGAGAAGAATCAGCGGATTTTGATTTCCCTTCGTTGTGGTGCAGATTTTCCTTGGGAGATTTCCTTTCTAACGGCGAAGATCTACTGCGAAGAATCAGCGGATTTTTGGCGAAGAAATTTTGGGTAGGCGATCGCGCTTAGAGAGGGGAAGAATCGGTGTGGAAGCTTTCTGCGATTTTCTCTTGTAATTGGATGCATGTAAGGAGCCTTATGTGTAATCAATTTAGAGAACCTAAAGTTGCCACTTGTCAAATTTCTACCCATAAAACTCTCAAATTTTATATCAAAGGATTTTACTAACAAATTCATATAAAATAAATAGTATAAATTATACTCCCTCCGTCCACCTAAGTTCTTCCCGTTACGCGTTACGAGGCTTGACCGACTTTATTTTTAATTCAATTTAATTGATTATAGGAGTAAAACTTTAAAATAAAATTTATATAGTAATAAACTACATGAAAAGTTTTACAAAACTAGAGGTGACAAAACTATATTATTTTACGAAATGACTAGTAAAAATGAGCAAACAAAGTGAGTAAAGTTTGACCATGTGAATAATATCTGTGAATATCTATGGTGGACATTGGGAGTATTATTTAAAAGTATATCAAAAACTATATTACTCCGTATAAAAAAAGAAAACTAATAAATATATTTTATTATATCGAATAATCAATAAATTATATATACAAAAATAATTATCGAACCATCATACTACATATTATGTTAATTTAATTTTATCATTTTTCTTCATCAATATTTTTTCTAATGATTTAGTTTATAATTAGACCGTACAACACACGAGTACGAGTTTAGTAATAAACAAAAACAAAATAGATAGGAGATAGAGTGCCTGTTTGGTAATAGCGTTAGCGTTTTGAAAAAGCTATCTACGAGCAGCGTTTAGCGTTAGTGTTTTCAAAATAATCTACACCGTTAAAATTTTATCCAAAAAGCTATTGCTAGATGCCTAAGTGAAGGTTTGATGACATCCCCTTTTCGATTTCATATTCTGCGCTTTCTCTCTGTCAGGTGTAAAAATAGCATCTTCGTTGATCTTCCTTCCCACCACCAGTTGAATCCCTCTCTCCACTAATCCCTTTCATCCTCTGCAGTCCAATCCCTCCATGGACTACGATTACAGGAACCGAGCCGGAGCTGCTTACGATTCTCAGTTGCCTATATATGGACGGCCTTCGTCCACCGCTTCGCCGCCCTCCCATTCTCATCCGATGTATGCGCCTCCCGGCCAACCTCATCATCCGCCGGCTCTCCACCCCAGGATCGGTCAACACCTTTCCAGCCATCTTGCCGGCCGTAATTCGGCCTCTTTCCATCGCCCCTCTTCTGCTCCTTCTAGTAAGTCCATCTTCCTCTAATCCTTTACCGGAATTGATCGTTTTCTCTGCACTTATTTCTATGCTAATGCGGCTATAAGATTTATCGGTGTTCCAATTGATTTGCAGATGGAACTGGTATTAGAGTTGCCATAAAACCGGAGTACCGGATTACACCTCCGGTATGGTTCTTAATAACTTGAACTAGAGCTCGATTATTGGACGAATCATGCATTTTAATTTCGACTCATACAAATTTTCATAGTACCATTATGATATTTCAACCAGCCTGTTATGTGTATGGCATTACTGAGATCTTCATTATGATTGGATCTCGAGAGATCGTATCTTAAGATCATTTGATGAGTATTCAATCCTCCCTTTCAATTTCCATATCAGTGGGCTGAATTGGCTGGATTTTAAGCTGATCAAAAGCAGTTTAAATTAATGTTAGGAATTATAAATGTGTTTAACCTTCATGGCCACAAGAACCCTAAGATAGTAATACATCATTGGTCATCTTCCTGCTAGATGAAATATTTTTTAAAAGGGATAAATACCTAACTAGGATTAAACATGCGCCATATACCAAAACAGGACATTTAATGTTTTCATACCAAGATACGATTTATATTGTCAAACAATGCCAACAAACATTGTGAAAGGCCAACACACAATGCCAAATTGAGGTATTTACAGTGCCAACACTTTTATTTAGGGTATAAAAACATACGTGGTCTTGTTTTTGTATAAGTTTCATGTTCTAGTTTATATAGGTAGATCTCTTTTTTTAAAACTATACTTTGCTTTACTGTGGGCATGGTTGCAGAAACCAATGTGGGTGACCCACTTGGATTCAAAGTTCAAACACACAACAAGAGTCTAATCAGTGTCTGAAGTGTAAATTATTTTGAAGAATTACTGGTAATTAGGTCTAGCATATTTATAAAATACCAATAGAAAAATGTTAAACAAACAACAACAACCCGGATGAATCCCACGAAGAGTAGGGTCTGGGGAATAACAAAATGTTAACCAATGCTAGTTAAAGGCGTCTGGGAGCACATGAAGTTTCTAGCAGGTGCCTGGCAAGCCAGATCCTAGTGTGCCTAGTTGTCTTGATTCCTAATGATGGTTGAATTCGAATTTAACAAGGTCCTATTTCCTACAGAGCATATTTTAGTGCATTACTGCAATAATATGCATGATTTCATTTGACTTGTAATTTTCAAGGTTGCAATAATATGCATGATTTCATTTGACTTGTAATTTTCAAGGTTGCAGATTATTTAAGGTAGCAGATTACAGTTTGTACTACTTTTGTTTGTCCAAGTCTGTTGTTCGTGTCTTGATCCCTTTGCTGTTTATTTGCAGCCACAATTATCCTCGCAAATCAGAGATATCCCGCATAGTTTTTTCCAGTTTGATTTTGATTTTGAGAGGAAGATTTTGGCTGAAGCAGAGAAGGATAGCCAAAATTGGAGTGGGCTTGTCGATTCGGGAAGTATTGTGACAAATATGTCTAGGCAGACTTCTCCAGTGAGTACTTATCTTTTGAAGTTTTTCCTCTTCTTCAGCACAAGAAGCAATAAATAGTATGTCCTCCATCACAGTGTGTTTGCCTGCTTTCTTATTGGCACATGGACCAAGAAGATGAAAATAAAAGGGAAGAACTTTCTAAATTGTCATTACTTTTGGGAAGTGGGTAAATGAATTGGGGGTAAATGAGGCATTGCAAGGCATATTTTCTTTCACTTAAACAAAAAGTGGACAAATACACGAGGATGGCTCAAAAAGGAACATTCGACATACATTGGGAATTTGGGACGGGGTAGTAAGTAGTGCCAGCCACAAATTTTTAGGTATATATGTGCATTACACACACACACACTCATATAGATTTTGGATTAAATGAGAATGATGCATAGTGAAAGAAGTGAGAATGCATATAATCCATTAGATTTAAGATCTAAGAGCTATAAAAAATAAAAAATTCTGAAAAATTAAAAAAATCGCGGTGGCAATTTTGTAAATAAATTGAACTTTTTTGAAAATGACTACTAGAAGTGTAAAATGCAATTTTATAAATAAATTGAACTTTTCGCACATTAAGGATATTGTCACCTGAACCAACCCCTAGATACACACATATATACACACACACACACATACATACATACATATGTATGTATGTACATATATATATGTGTGTCTGTGTATATATATATGATATATGTATATGTGTGTGTGTGTGTCTATATATATATATATATATATATATATATAGACACACACATACACCTGAACCAACCCCTATATACACACACACACACACACACACATATAAATACATACACATGTATATATATGTGTGTGTGTGTATATATGTATGTATGTATGTATGTATGTATGTATGTATGTATGTATGTATGTATGTATGTATGTATGTATGTATGTATGTATGTATGTATGTATGTATGTATGTATGTATGTATGTATGTATGTATGTATGTATGTATGTATGTATGTATGTATGTATGTATGTATGTATGTATGTATGTATGTATA